ACCCTTGGGGCACTCCGCTTGAAACCGGTTGCCAACTAGACATGGAGCCATTGATCACTACCCGTTGAGCCCGACGATCTAGCCAGCTTTCTATCCATTTTACAGTCCATTCATCCAGCCCATACTTCTTTAACTTGGCAGCAAGAATACTGAGGGAGACCGTATCAAAAGCTTTGCTAAAGTCAAGGAATAACACATCCACTGCTTTCCCCTCATCCACAGAGCCAGTTATCTCATCATAGAAGGCAATTAGGTTAGTCAGGCACGACTTCCCCTTGGTGAATCCATGCTGACTGTTCCTGATCACTTTCCTCTCCTCTAAGTGTTTCATAATAGATTCCTTGAGGACCTCCTCCATGATTTTTCCAGGGACTGAGGTGAGGCTGACTGGCCTGTAGTTCCCCGGATCCTCCTTCTTCCCTTTTTTAAAGATGGGCACTACATTAGCCTTTTTCCAGTCATCCGGGACCTCCCCCGATCGCCATGAGTTTTCAAAAATAATGGCTAATGGCTCTGCAATCTCATCCACCAACTCCTTTAGCACCCTCAGATGCAGCGCATCCGGCCCCATGGACTTGTGCACGTCCAGTTTTTCTAAATAGTCCCAAACCACTTCTTTCTCCACAGAGGGCTGGTCACCTTCTCCCCATATTGTGCTGCCCAGTACAGCAGTCTGGGAGCTGACCTTGTTTGTGAAGACAGAGGCAAAAAAATCATTGAGTACATTAGCTTTTTCCACATCCTCAGTCACTAGGTTGCCTCCCTCATTCAGTAAGGGTCCCACACTTTCCTTGACTTTCTTCTTGTTGCTAACATACCTGAAGAAACCCTTCTTGTTACTCTTAACATCTCTTGCTAGCTGCAACTCCAAGTGTGATTTGGCCTTCCTGATTTCACTCCTGCATGCCTGAGCAATATTTTTATACTCCTCCCTGGTCATTTGTCCAATCTTCCACTTCTTGTAAGCTTCTTTTTTGCGTTTAAGGTCAGCAAGGATTTCACTGTTTAGCCAAGCTGGTCGCCTGCCATATTTACTATTCTTTCTACACATCGGGATGGTTTGTTCCTGCAACCGCAATAAGGATTCTTTAAAATACAGCCAGCTCTCCTGGACCCCTTTGCCCTTCATGTTATTCTCCCAGGGGATCCTGCCCATCTGTTCCCTGAGGGAGTCAAAGTCTGCTTTTCTGAAGTCCAGGGTCCGTATTCTGCTGCTCTCCTTTCTTCCTTGTGTCAGGATCCTGAACTCGACCATCTCATGGTCACTGCCTCCCAGGTTCCCATCCACTTTTGCTTCCCCTACTAATTCTTCCCTGTTTGTGAGCAGCAGGTCAAGAAAAGCTCTGCCCCTAGTTGGTTCCTCCAGCACTTGCACCAGGAAATTGTCCCCTACACTTTCCAAAAACTTCCTGGATTGTCTGTGCACCGCTGTATTGCTCTCCCAGCAGATATCAGGGTGATTAAAGTCTCCCATGAGAACCAGGGCCTGCGATCTAGCAACTGCTGTTAGTTGCCGGAAGAACGCCTCGTCCACCTCATCCCCCTGGTCTGGTGGTCTATAGCAGACTCCGACCACAACATCACCCTTGTTGCTCACACTTCTCAACTTTATCCAGAGACACTCAGGTTTTTCTGCAGTTTCATACCGGAGCTCTGAGCAGTCATACTCCTCTCTTACATACAATGCAACTCCCCCACCTTTTCTGCCCTGCCTGTCCTTCCTGAACAGTTTATATCCATCCATGATAGTACTCCAGTCATGTGAGTTATCCCACCAAGTCTCTGTTATTCCAATCGCATCATAGTTCCCTGACTGTGCCAGGACTTCCAGTTCTCCCTGCTTGTTTCCCAGGCTTCTTGCATTTGTGTATAGGCACTTAAGATAACTCATCGATCGTCCCTCTTTCTCAGTATGAGACAGGAGTCCTCCCCTCTTGCGCTCTCCTGCTTGTGCTTCCTCCCAGGATCCCATTTCCCCACTTACCTCAGGGCTTTGGTCTCCTTCCCCCGGTGAACCTAGTTTAAAGCCCTCCTCACTAGGTTAGCCAGCCTGCTGGCGAAGATGCTCTTCCCTCTCTTCGTTAGGTGGAGCCCGTCCCTGCCCAGCACTCCTTCTTGGAACACCATCCCATGGTCGAAGAATCCAAAGCCTTCTCTCCGACACCACCTGCGTAGCCATTCGTTGACTTCCACGATTCGACGGTCTCTACCCAGGCCTTTTCCTTCCACAGGGAGGATGGACGAGAACACCACTTGCGCCTCAAACTCCTTTATCCTTCTTCCCAGAGCCACGTAGTCTGCAGTGATCCGCTCAAGGTTATTCTTGGCAGTATCATTGGTGCCCACGTGGAGAAGCAGGAAGGGGTAGCGATCCGAGGGCTATTGGAGGAGGAGGCCTTCGATTCAATTGTACTGAGTGGAGAGGTCAAGACTCTGGAAACTGTAGATCTTGTCGGGTACCTGGACTTTTTCGGAGTTGGCTTGTTAAGGTGAGAGTCCTCACTTCTTTTTTCTGGAAGCCTTCCTTGAAGCCTGCAAAGTCTTCCCTTTCTTAAGGGAAGCTTGCACCAAAGTAGAAGGGGCACTGGATCTGTCCAGAGACTGATGTAATGGGGGAGCCTTCTTGACCTGACTCAGAAGCTGGCTAAAGGGAGTGTTCCATCATTAGCAGTGAATTTAATCTCCTGTTTTTTCTTGCTCTGGACTTCAGGGAAAGGCAGAATTTGCACTTCTGGGAGACGTGGGACTTCCCCAAGCAATGGACACGTTAAAATAGAGTGGCCATCACCAGGTTTTGACGTTGCCACTCCTAAAGAGTCAGACATGTCCTGGCAGGAAAAAAAAATAAGTCTCCCTGGGGAAAGAGTGGAGTAAAACAATCCTCTCACTACTTATTTAACTATAACTACACTAACACTACAAAAACTATCTTAATCGCTATAGAAATATTAGAAAAGCCGATACACGCTCAAGGCAGACATGCTAGGGTTCTGTTTCAGGCCAATGTGGTTGAGAAGGAACTGAGGGCAGTTCGTCTGTGCACCCCTATATAGCCTCAGTATCCAGTACTAGGAGTCACAGGGCACATGCGTGGGCTGAATGGATGTTGCTAACTGAAAATTTCCCACCAAGAGCTTGAGAGACGCATGAACACCTGAAGTGGAACACCAATAGGGATGTTACTCGAAGAAGTAGTAAACTTCTGGCTTGAACAGAATACATAATTCAGGTAACTGACAATATGTAACATTACACACACCCAATAGGAAGGTATGTTTTGAAGACTGCATTAAACTGGAAACCTTTGCACATGTGTAACCAACCAGGAACCATGACACTGTATCATCACATTGAACTCCAACAACTGAGTATGTCTGGGTTGGGGTTTTTGACATGTGAAAAGGAAAAGGAGTTGAGGTTGGCATGAGAGCCAATAACTTTGTGCCTGGTGCCAAGAGTTCACTTCCCTATCTATGGGAGATCTCCATCTCCTCCACAGCATTCAACGTTTCCAAAAAGCCTTAACAGAGCCCAAAGCAAAGGGAACAAAGGAGATGTGCATGTTTGGTAAGCTTGAGCCCTGAGAAATCTGGGCTATGAGTAAACTGCCCAGTTTTCTTCCTCTAGTCCAGTCCTTCACTGAACCACACACTCAGGAGGCTGGAAAGCAAGCATGGTTGAAGAAGAGAGAAATTTTTCATACTTAAGTAAAAAGGTTTGGCTGATCTTGTATCTCACATTAACTGGCCAAGCTTAAGAAGGCCCTACACTTGACTCAATGGCATTTCTCAGTGTGGATGTAGTGAGAACTTTTGAATGCCGCATCTGATCAATTCCAAAATTTCAAGAAATGTTCTAGGCATCAGTGGCCAGAACCTTATTGATTTTGGGGAAAATTGGAAAACCAAAAGGGGCAAAAAGGGGAAGGTGGTGGGAAAAAGACACAAAGCTCCTGCCAGTACTTTAATTAGTACAGCCACTGTTTCAAGCACTTCTGCAACTATTATACTTCAAACTGATTAATGGCACTCATTAATCCCTCCCAGCATTAGAATACATCTCATCTCTGCTTATCTTCCCACTAGACTGTAACATATTCATGACCTCAATGACTTGTTTATCAGTTAGGAAGATGGTGGGTGGCATAGGAGGAATGGGGGCATGCACCCAGCCCAGACATGGGGAGAGGGGAGAATGGAGGAACCTGGTATGGGGGAAGAGGGAAAGGGGGCAAACAACATCGAGTGAGGGGCGACTGGGGGGAGGCTTTAGTATAAGGGGAAGGTGGGAATGGAAGCAGACAGAGCTCCTGGCATGCACAGGAAAAGGGTAGTAAGGGTTGTACTGAACCCCTGCCATGGGGAGAGAATGGCAGAGACTGATATGGGGGAAGAGGGAAAGTGGGGCGCACACAGAGCCCCTGACATGGGGGGAAGGAGAGGATGAGGGCACCCATGGAACACCTGGTAAGAGGAAGACTGGGGAACCCTGGTATGGGGGCACATAGAACCCCCTAAGGGGGAAACTGGGAAGAGTTGTAGGGAGTCCTGAAATAGAGGAGTATGAGAAGGTGGCAAATAGGAAGCTTCTGGGAGAGAGGGGATGAGGAGGGATGCAAGGAGGCCTTGGTGCATGCAATAAGCTCAGCCTACTCAAACTATGAAGTGTGCATCCCTCTAGTAGCAATTTATTTTTTTTAATCATCTTGCAAAGAATCAGTATGGAACTTAGGACTTATGAGCTTACACTGAAGATTTAAAAAAAAGGGCAGTAAACATTCTCACACTGAGCTCCCATTGGAATGTAAGAAAGAAGGATTCCAGTCTGCAAAGCATTGAAATCCCAAATCACAATGGAAAATTTCAAACAAAATCTAAGGGTTCCACTAGTAAAATATGTCAGGTCCACACCAAGTATGCATGTGAAAAGCCTTAAAACATGTACTGTAAATCCTGTAAGCCTTATACCTTGTAAGAAACCAGAAATGTTAAACTACTTACCTGGGGGGAAAGAAACTGGGGAGGCACTTGTGCCCGGATATTGGGGGAAGGGTTTAGTGGCTGCACTGGTGTGTGCATGCCCCTCGATTGTGCTGTGCTGTTTCCAAATAAACCATGATTGCCAGCCTATAAAATTAAAATAATGGTGAGTCAGTAAAAATTCTAATCCCTTAGGCTAATGGATTTCTGTGTGCTGTTGGCTGTTTACTAAGAGTATCGCAAGAATATTTCACTACAGAGAATACCCTCACGCCTGAATTATTCAGACGATACCAACCTCAATCCGCTTTATCCCCCCTAAGTCTCTTTATAAACTGAAGTTTTTGAAATATAGCCTCTTCCTCCACATGTACATTGTACTTTTCATCCAAGGATCTCAATACACCAGTGGTCTCCAACCTTTTTATGCACAAGATCACTTTTTGAATTTAAGATCAACCCAGAATCTACCCGGCCCCATTCACTCCATTCCCCCCTTCCTCCGTCGCTCGCTCTCCCCCACCCTCATTCACTGGCCTGGGGAAGAGGGTTGAGGTGTGGGAGGGGGTGCAGGCTCTGGGCTGGGGTCGAGGGGTTCAGGGTACGGGAGGGGGCTCAGGCCTGAGCCTGGGGCAGGAGGTTGGGGTGCAGGAGGTGGTATGGGGCATGGGCTCTGGGAGGGAGAGTTTGGGTGTAGGAGGGGGCTCTGGGCTGGGGCAGAGTGTTGGGGTGTGGGAGGGTGTGAGGGGTACAAGCTCTGGGAAGAAGTTTGGGTGTGGGCTCAGGGCTGGGTCGGGGGGGGGGGGGGGGGGGGGGGGGGGGGGGGCGGGATCTGGGAGGGAGTTTGGGTGCAGGATCCAGCCAGGAGGTGGTTACCACAGGCAGCTCCCAGTCAGCGGCGTAACGGGGCTAAGGCAGGCTCCCTGCCTGCCCTGGTCCCACACCACTTCCAGAAGCGGCTGGCATGTCTCTGCGGCCCCTGCCTTAGCTCCACTGTGCCACCAGACTTTTAGCAGCCAGAGATCACAAGCAACTGGCACAGGGTCCAGGATTGACCAGTCGATCACGATCAATCGGTTAGTGACCACTGCTTTACACAGTTGGTTAAAGTTAAGTAGCCCATTTTACAAATATGGAAAGTGAGGCTCAGAGAAAACAAATAGTACGTCCTAGAACATTCTCCTACTTAAAAGTTGATAAGCAGTATTTTGTCACTTAGTCGTCTTGGCTATTGCATTATGAAAGATCTGAGACAGAGTTGGTTGAAGATTCAGGAACCAGTCGTCACTAAAACAAGTATGTCTATTGCTTATATAACCTACAGGCCTTTAGCTGTCCACCATTGCCTTAAAATAATTAAAGCTGGTCAAATTTTTCATCTGAAAAGTTACTTTGACCAAAAAATGGCCTTTTTTCCCCTACATGAAAATTGTCATGGAAAATTAGTTTCTTTTGAATTTTTCTGTGATGTGTTTGTGCTTTTGGTTTTAATGAAAAAACAAACAAACAAACAAACCTTTTAAATTAAAAAAAAATTATAACCATTGGTTCACAGATGCATAGTTGCTCCCCTCATGTGCCAAACTGAGGGCATAAATGAGGCACAGACCAAAGCCTCTCCAGTTCCTTCCCTTACCACAAATCATATAGGATCCAAAGCAGACGGAAAGGATGGTGGGTAGCGGAATACAGTTAGGGACCATACAACTAGAAGAACCACCAGTTACAGGTAAGTAACTTCCATTTCTTCTTCGAGTGCTGGTCCCTATCCGTATTTTATATGTGGGTGATTAGTAAGCAGCAGTCAAAGAAGAGGAGGGTGTAAGGATGCAGCTGATATAGATCAGGGGTTGGCAACCTTTCAGAAGTGGTGTGCCGAGTCTTCATTTATTCACTCTGATTTAAGGTTTCGCATGCAAGTCATACATTTTAAAGTTTTTGGAAGGTCTCTTTCTATAAGTCTATAATACATAAATAAACTGTTGTTGTATGTAAAGTAAATAAGGTTTTTAAAATGTTTAAGAAGCTTCATTTAAAATTAAATTAAAATGCAGAGCCCCCTGGACCGGTGGCCAGGACCCGGGCAATGTGAGTGCCACTGAAAATCAGCTCGCATGCTGCCTTCGGCACGCGTGCCATAGGTTGCCTACCCCTGGTATAGATGACTGTAACACTGCTGTCCCCACAGCTCCATCTGCTGAGGAAGCCTGAACCAGGGTGTAATGCTTTGTAAAGGTGTGGATGGAGATCCAGGTACCTGCCTTACAAATGTCCAGTACTGGTAAGAAATGCCATTGAGGTTGCCTGTGCTCCCATAGAGCAGGCCCTCACCAAGTCCTGGGGAGGAATATGTGTTAGCTGATAACACAGAATGATGCTTCCAGAGATCCACTCAGTGAGTCTCTGGGCTGATAATGCTTGTCCTCATGATCGTTCTGCTACAGAAACAAATAGTCTCTGTGTTTTCCTAATTGGTTTTGTTCTTTGCAGATAAAAGGCCATGATCTGTCTGACACTGAGAGACTGCGGCCTCTCTTCCTCATTGGAAACATGAGGCTTAGGGAAGAACACTGGTAAGTGAATAGGTTGGGTCATATGGAACTCTGAAATTACCTTGGGGATGAATATCTGGTGGAGATGAAAGAGGGCCTTTTCTCTATAAAATATGATGTACGGCGGTTCTGTCACAAGTGTTCCAAGTGTGATGGCAACTACGATTAGGTAATATTCATGGAGAGGTGTGACATGGAACATGTGGCCATTGGTTTGAAACGCGGTCTGATAAGAGATCATAGTACCAAGTTGAGATCTCATTGTGGTGCGCGTTTCATCACTGGCAGGAAGGTCCCAATGAGGCCTTTCAAGAATCAAATTATGGTAGGGTGAGTAAAGATAGAGCAGCCTTCCACCAGAGGATGAAAGGCATTGATTGCTGACTTTTAATGTGCCGGTAGGGACAGGAGATAGTCTAAAATGACACGGACACCTACTGATTCTGGTGATAACTGATTCTGTTGTGAGCAGGTAGAGAAATGCCTCCATTTAGCTAAATAGCATTTTCTAGTGGAGGTTTTTCCATTGTGACAGATGATAGTTCAGATGGCCTCTGAACATGAACGTTCTAGGTCTCATGCCCATCCAAATGCTAGGCTGTGAGTGAAGAGGCTCTGGGTTGGGATGTCTGATCCTGCCCTGGTCCTAGTTAACAGATCCAGAAAGGGTCAAATAGAGATGGGAGAACAGGGGATGACATTGTAGTAGGTCTGGAAACCAAAACTGCCTATATCATTTGTTGTCAAGTATCAGAGGTGTAGCTGTGTTAGTCTGGATCTGTAAAAAGCGACAAAGAGTCCTGTGGCACCTTAAAGAACAACAGACATATTGGAGCATAAGCTTTCATGGGTGAATACCCACTTCGTCAGACGCAGCTTATGCTCCAATACATGTGTTAGTCTATAAGGTGCCACAGGACTCTTTATCGCTATATCATTTGGGTGTGATAAGGGATAACCCTGACCTGTCAAGGTGAATTTTGCAGAGAACCTAAGGTAGCTGAGCATTGGGAGGGAAGATGTACCTCAGATGGTCCACCCAGAACAACAGAAAGGCATCATGCCTGAAGTCTCGGCCTAATGCTGCTCTTGAGCAGTAGAGATTGAATTTCTTGTTTGTTTGGGAGGTGAACAAGCCACAAGATAACATTGCTCAGTGGGTGAAGATTTTGGTTATGACACAATTGCATATTTCCCATTCACGGTCTATGGCAAAGTGCTTGCTCAGAATGTCTGGCAGAGTATTCTGCACACCTGATGTGTAGGTTGCTAAGAGTATGATGTGGTTCTTGATGCACCAGTTCCATAATTCATTGTCTCTATTCACCCTGTTTATATAAGACAGTTGTCATGTGGTCACGCATTATCTGGATGTGGCAGGATCATGTGAGGGAGAAGTATTTGTTGCAGGTTAGGTGAACTGCTCTAATCTCCAGCAGAATGATATGCATTCTGGCCTCCCGTGGGCACCACGTGCCTTTTGCAGTGTGACTGTCCGTATGTGCTCCCCATCCTATGAGGGACGCATCAAGGATGGGTGGAAGAAAGGGGACTCCTGCTCACACCTGGTCCAGTTTCGTCCACCACTGAGAGAGGATCTGACTTTCAGTGGGATTGTTACCTGATATTCATGTTGTCCTTGTCTGGTGAGCAGACAGACTGAAGACAGGCCTGCAAATAACAAATGTGGAGTCTGGCAAATGGCACTATGTACGTGTATGCAGCCATGTGGCTTAGAAGGGAAAGGCAGACGGTGATTGTGGTGCAAGGTCTGAGGGTTACTTGGTTTATCAAGTTATTCATAACCTGAAATTTGTCTATAGGGTGGTTGGCTTTTTCTGAGGATATATCCAGGGTTGCTCCTATGAAATCTATAGTCCTTGTGGGAGTCAAAGTGCTTGTTTACACAGACCTCCAGAAATGTCAGAAAGTGGAGTAAGAATAAGACTATTGATTGGACCTTCTGGCTTGATCTGCTCATTAGCAGCCAGTCGTGCAGATACAGGAAGATAATGTAGCCATCATGTCTCATTTGGGCCGCCACCACACAGAAGATTTTTGTGAAGGCCTGAGTGCCATCACCAGCCTGAATGGAAGTACTCTGAATTGGTATTTCTCTTGTCCTCACAATGAACTGAAGAAATCTTCTGTGGGACTGATGAATATCTACCTAAAAGCAAGCATCTTTCATATCAAGGACCACAAACCATCTCTTATCCTACAGGGAGGAAATTATTTTTGATTGTGCATAAAGGCATATAGTTGGCATACATCAAGAATTGGTCCCTATCCTCAATTTTTCTTGGAAATTATGAAATATAGGAACTAGAATCCCCCCTCAATGCTGAGGTGGCATCTGCTCTATAACCCCTTTTTGGAGGAGAGAGTTCACATCCTGATGAAGGATCTCCTCGTGAGAGTGGCCCCTGAGAAGGGGGTTTTTGTGGTGGGAAGTGAGATCAACTCAACTGGGTAGTTGGAGTGAATGATCTCTAGTATCCACTTGTCTGTTATTGCCTTCCAGTTGTGTGTGACGTTGGTAAGGCAGCCACCAAAGATTTGGGGGGGGGGGGGGGGCGCAATGTGGCATGGCATCAGTATCAATATGCAGTCCTTGAGAATCAGATCACAAGAAACCCTTGGATGATGGGCAGGACTGGGCAGCAGTCAGAGGTGGAGGAAGCGGTGCATCTGAGTCTTTGAACCCTCTGTTGTTTTGCATGGTGGTTCATACGGGTGCTGGTGATAAAATGCTGGGGGGATGGGAAGATATTTGGGTCTATTGGTTTGCTTGTGGTGTTTCCTCTTCAGAGCTGGGGTGTAAATGCCCAGGAGTGGAGAGTTGTCCTGGAGTCCTTAAGAGAGTGTAGTGACTTGTCAGTATTCTCACTGAAGAGATTAGACTCACCAAAGGGAAAATTCTCAAAGGTATTCTGAACCTCCCTGGGGAACCCCGAAGAGTGCAGCCACGATTCATGCCTCATGACTACAGCTGTGGTAACGGTTTTAGACCGAGTGTCAGCTGAGTCCACTGCTGCTTGAAGTGAAGTCTTAGCCACCAGCCTGCCTTCATCAATGAGATCTTGGATCGGAGTCCTGTCTTTCTCAGGATGTTTGTATCTAAATTACAGAATTTTGGAATAATTTAGGAAATCATACTCTCCTAACAATGCCTGGTAACTAGCAACTTTGAATTAGAGACTAGCTCGTGAAAATACTTTCCTCCTCAAGAGGTCAATGCATTTAGCGCCCTTGTCAGTTAGAGTAGACTTGGGGTGCTGTGACCTGGACCTCTCTATAGCTGCCTGTATCACTAAGGAGTTGGGCTGTGGATGGATAAATAAAAAACTGCCCATTTAGTTGGCACAGAATATTGTTTTTCAGCCCTCAAGGATAGGGGCACAGGTGGCAGGGACATGCCACACAGATCTGGAGGGTTCCAAAATGGCCTTGTTGACTGGGAGGGCCACCTTATTAGGGTCAGAAGGTTGAAGGATGTCTGATTGGACCACGCTCTGTGTCCTGGACCTCCTCAAGAGGTATCTTGAGCTTGGTTGCTACCCTCTGTAACAGCTCCTGGTACTGCCTGTGGTCATCAGGCAGGGAAGGGAAGAGGCCTCATCAGGTGAGGAGGATGACACATCCATTGGGACCAGCAGATCCAGCTTGACTTCTTACTTCACAAACTCCAAAGGAGCTGGTTGGTATCAGCTGGGAGAAAAGGGTCAGTGGGATCCTTGCACAAATCTAGGATATTTGTTATATGGGGCACAATATGGCCAGTAGAAAGGGTCAACTGGTTGAGGGGATGGGAGCAAGAAATAGGGTATCAATAGTCCCCTGGGTAGCCATATCCAAGTCAGCTCCAAGGCCTCCGTCTGGGCATGTTTCCCTTGTGGAGGAGGGTATAGGGAGGCTCATATGGGAGCATCAGGCTCATATGGCACATTCACTCTGAAAAGGTAGGGTCCTGCTCTACTGGAAGCACTAGTGGGGAGGATATTCCAACTTGTGGACGCAGCATGGGAGGATCCTCTTCCCCTCAAGGTGGGTTCTTCGGGTATAGAAATGTCTGTAAGAAGGACTTGGCCCAATAGAAGAGGAGATTGTGAACAGGGCGGAATGAAAATATCCTCCAGTGACATAAAGATGGCCATCCTTCTTGGAGTTTGAGGAGATCCTGACGTGGGAACTGATAGATCTGCAGTGTCCAACAGTCTGCTACTCAGAGGATCCCATATGGGGCGACAGGTGCCAATCTTTTGGTCTGTGGGATGGAGCCAGAATCATAGCCGCGGACACAGAGAATTCCAACTCAGATGATCTGACAGTAAGAATGAATGGAACTGCAAAGGCGTTGGGCCACACCACCCGTTATGCCCTCAGTTTGGAGAATGAGGAAAACAACTGCACACTGTGGACCAACGGACAATACTTGCTACAAATCTCTGGAGTACATGTGCACCCATGTGTAGAATACACACAGAGACCAGCACTCAAAGAACAAAAATTCAGTGTTTTTTTTTTTAAAGAATATTTTTCATTTTTCAAAAATGTTCATGGAAAATACTTACCATTTTCTGACCAGCTTCACTAATAATTAATACACCTCTACCCCGATATAATGCGACCCGATATAACACGGTACAGCAGTGCTCTGGGGGGGCGGGGCTGCGCACTCCAGCGGATCAAAGCAAGTTCGATATAACGCGGTTTCACCTATAACGCAGTAAGATTTTTTGGCTCCCGAGGACAGCGTTATATCGGGGTAGAGGTGTAGTTACTAACTAGGAATCAGTCTCCTTCTAGCCTTTTATTCTTGCAGAGTCTTTTTAAAAAAATAAGTTTAACTCCTTTAAACATATTTCCACATATAAGTCACTGTATAAAACCTGGGTAAAAAAAGTCCAAGACAAATTTGAAGCAAACCACTCTTAAAATGAAAGTCTAGAAGATCATCCTGTGTTGCAGGCAATAAGAGGCCAACAAAACGAACAAAATATATACTGGACAATAGGAAGGAAGGTGGATTTTTGAAGGCTAGCATATCTGAAACCTATGTTAATATACATTATACTGTGTAGTCAGTGATCAATAAATCTTGTAAGAAAACCAGCTGACCAGAATTAAGCCTACGTTGCAGCCACGTAGTAATAAATCTGAGAAGGTGGCCTCCTTACTTGTCTAGCAGCGAAGTTTTGGGGGTTGAGCCCTGAGCCGATTGCCCCAAGGCTGACGTTGGGTAGTGTGGAACCAGAGGGAGACAGCTTGTAGCTGGGAGAAGGGGAGAAGGGAGAGCAGGGAGCCTCATCCCCAAGGCACCCGTCTTGATTGGAGAAAGGCAAAGTCAGCTGAAGCAGTAGTTAGCCAATCAGCAGGAGTTGGTTAGTGAAGCAACAGAATGCAAAAGGAGAGAAAGAAGGACTGTGAGTGATCAGGAATAAGCAAAGGTAGTTTGTAATAGCAATTACATGGGCAAACTTCTGACTCAGTTTAACTGCTGGCATTTGGAGATTTTTGGTTAAGGAGCCATGTCAACAACTTCTGTAGAGGTGAAGGTATTTTTAAAAAACCTCTTAGATGCATAGAAAAATTCTTTCTTTACTAATTTTGTCCTTCTCTGATAGTGATTATTTCCACTAAAGCAGTAGATACAGCTAGAATGAGTTCCTATTATTTACTTCTGTTTGCACACACCAATTTGTGTCCACAGTATGCACCTCTGCAAATGGTGTTCGTTAATTAGACCAGCAGAGGGAGTTCATAAAGCTGGTGTTTGGCCTGTTACCCCAAAATGGAATAGTTTAAAAATATGCACTTTTAAAAAAATGTTTATTGGACAGAGAACGCCCACAACATTTATATAACAATATTTTACCTGTTTCACATTTTATTGAATCAAATGAACTGCATTTAAAATAAACATTTTGAATCCAGGGGACCCTCTCCAAATCATAATTTAAAGCAATTAATATTTGAAATCTAAAAAGGTTGACAGTGCCCATTTAAAACAGGTAAAGATATGAAAGAGATGCTACTGCAACATACAACAGATGTAGGGAAGCCAACAGTAAATGGACAAACACAGCACATGGGATAGTCTAATCTAGAAAGAATGCTTCAGATAACTTGCAGAAATGAAAGCAGAAAGAAAAAGTCTTGGAAAATTGTGATTTTGTCTGTATATTTAGATTTAAATTTAGTTTTAGAGTGTAGGAGTATAGTCAGTAGCCAAACAGAAACAAGAACCATTATGATGCCCTCTTCGCTAAACTTTGCTGGCACCTGTTCAAAATGGACTTCTCCCTCCTCAGCTAAAGACTGAAGTAGTATTCAGAAATAATGTTTCTTCAGAGCTGTACCTATTACTCTCAGGATTTCTCTAATATATTCATACATATCTTTAACCCATCTCAATTTTTCATCTTCGTTCACTCTACATACACATGTCTATCTTATCTTATTTCATGTATTATTAGATTCTCTTCCATGATTTTGAATTTTTATTACCCCCCAAAGGAGTAGATATAAATTGGGACCTTATGTGAATGCAGTGGGGGATTTTGTTCAACCATACAGATTTATCTCACCTTCTCAAAATAAGGCCCACTATCTGTGGTTCCCATGTCTTTGGAATTAGGTGGACGGAACCCAGATCGATCCTTTCTCATTATATCATTAAAATCCCCGAGGTTCATGGCTCGTTTGTCCACCTCAAATTTCTTATCTGGGAGACCACCTATAAGAGGGAAGGAAGAGGGTGAAATATCAGTGCCAACAACCACAATCATACCTTTTCTTTCCAATAGATTCACAGCTAAAAATGGATTGAAAATACCTCTGAAGGCTGAAAAATAGTACAGCCAAGGATTTATTTTATAATGTAGCATTACGCTCCTGGTAAAAGAGTCAGGGATTAAGTTTTATCGTAAGATTAAACAAGCCAATTTGCTTTAAAAACATGTATCTGTCCACACACACTACGAATAAAACTAACTACTACCTCTACAGATTCTGACTGAACTAACTGCGCAATGGAAGAAAAGAGGATGGTTCTGAAACTATTTGCACCAGTCAGAGCTGTTCAGGGAGGAAAAGGGTATACAATGCCAGATTTGCAATCAACATGCACATGCCCCATAACAGTTAAACTACTTTAGAATGATTTTGGAAGCATGAGGCCTTAAAGTGGGGATTTATAAAAGCAATTTCATGAAGGTGAATCTATAAAGTGAAACTTTACACTGCACTGATAAGACTATTTGGAATACTGCACAGAGTTCTGGAACCCACTTTAAAAAAAAAACCAGTAAATAGAAAATATTTAAACATAAGGAGACAAAATGACACATGAACTTGAGTATATGACTTATGAAGACAGGTTGAATTAAATTTCTTTATTTAGCTTAAAGAAGCTACGTTTAAAGAACAAATCCCTCTTGCTCTTTCCCATCTCTATCTCAGACAACTACTCCCCCATTATTCCCTGGTCTCCCAGGGTACATCTTCACTATGTAATCGATCTATCGGGGATCGATTTATTGCGTGACGCGATAAATCAATCCCCAAACGCGCTCCCCGTCGACTCTGGAACTCCACCAGAGCAACAGGCGGAAGCGGAGTCGACGGGGGAGCCACGGCCATTGATCCTGCGCCATGAGGACGCGAGGTAAGTCGATCTAAGATACGTCGACTTCAGCTACGCTATTCTCATAGCTGAAGTTGCGTATCTTAGATCGATCCCCACCCCTCCAGTGTAGACCAGTCCCCAGACTTGCACTCTCTGAAGTATCACTCTACCATCCTCACACCATATTCAGACCTTGTTCAAATCCTCTCATTTTTTCTTCTCTATTCCTACCACTAGAACTCTTATCCACATCATAATTGTATCTCCCAACTATTGCAATCTCTGGCCTCTCTGGATCAGACTTCATTCCCCTCCCTTCCAAATACTGCTTCTGAAACTTCCTACTAATGACCATGTCATTCCCTATTTGAATCCCTTCACTACCTTACACTCTTCTTCTACTTCAGGCATCTCATCCTCAAGATCCCCTGCACAAATCCCCTTCTCAAATCCTTCAATTCACCCCTTTCATTTATCTTAAGACTCCTGCATAACACCTCTTTGTAACCTTCCTCAGATTTCCTCTTTGGGCCTTCTTTCATGCTGTCTGTTCTCCAACGTCTCCTCAAAACACTTTTCTTGTTCCACAGTACGTTTGAGAAATTGCCCTATAAAACTCTTAATGCCACCTGATATTCATATGATTACCCAATATAAACACTCTTGTTTTTTAATATATACATAAAAACAAAAATAAACAAAAAAATACACACACACACACAGATGCCTGAGTGGTTTAATCTGTGTCTGTACTAGACTGTAAACTCCTTGTGGCAGGGGCTGCGTTTCCTTTCAGGTTCTTAGAGTATCAAGCACATTGTTGATGTTCAATAAATAATTAACAAGATGATACTTCAATACAGAAAGGACAAATGTAAAGGGATGCAAAAACCCAACAGTGAATCTAGAAATAAGAGAGGATGAAGGTTACTTACCAGAAATTTGGCTGCTGTGCAATAAGCCTCTGAATATTCACACTTGAGAGATCACAGCACCTGTGCTGTGAGCTTCTAGAATCTTCTAGTCACCCATGTCCATTGGGGCTTGTTACCATGCCCTTCATGGAGGGTTTTGATGATATAAAAATGGGAGTGGCCTCAACCACATTCATAGTTTCTTCTACTAATTTGGGAAGTCCTAAATTTATGACTCCAAAAGAAATGTGGAAGGTGGAGTCAGGGATGGGGAATACGCAAACACTTATATCAAATAATTCCAATTCTTAAACTGGCCACTGCATATTCCTGCTTCCAAGAGTTTAGCAAGCACTAGAACCTTGAGGAAGATGGGCTAAAAAAAAAAAACACTATGTAAACACAGTAAATAGCAGCCATACAACATTCTATAAAGATTACAGCATGAAGGCACGCTATGGAAGCTACCTTATGCCTGAGTACACTGACATCTCCAGATGGTCAAACAACTGCAAAGTCATAAGTCGTTAAACCGTCATTTTGACAGCTTTAGGGGAGTGCTGGCCAGTCCCTTGGTCTCACCCCAATATGCCCCACAGGTCTGGGAACTTGTGGACAGGTCTGGTCCCATATAAACTTACTTCCCTCTGGACATCTAAAGTATGGGGCCTGAATTCTTGGATATGAATGGTACACAGAGAAATTCAGACAGGCTAGTGGCCTGAAAGAGATGGAAATCAGAGGACCTCTGATTTGGAAAGGATGCAGATAAGAGCACATGTACAAAATATGGTTTAGGGAGCCATTAGGCCTGTATCTCACTAACCCTCTGGCCTAAAGTTATGATTATAATAAACAGCACTTTCACAGATATATGGAACAAAGAGAAGTCTGCCCAGTTTTTGAACAGAGGCCCCATGAAGTTTGTGGGAACAAGAGTATAATCTCATTGCAAAACAGGTCCATGCACCAAAGGGAATACTCTCTAAGGCGGGACAAATGAATCTCTCTCATCACAGTAGCAACCTATCTATTGCACTGGAGTATCCAGTTTCGTATCCTTTGACTACTGCAGCAAAACAGCTCTCTCAACCAGCCTTAGTCATAACATGGATCAAACCTTTCAGTTTCTGCAGGGTGAGAGAAGACTGTCAATCCAGGCATCAGAGGGGAAAAAAGCTGTGATGGCAGCCAAATGCACCCTGACAGAACACAAAACTTTTCTAAGTGAAACATAGGACCCCTCTCAGGTCCATTGCCTTTTCAATTGCTCAGATGAGAAATCTCTTCCAATTCACTGGAGTAAGTTGTGTGGCCAGTCTCCTGTTTTTCAATATGATCTTTTGAACCTCAACACAACACTTTACATCGAATGTGTCCCAACTTCCCAGAAGTCAAGGTTGCAATCTGAGAAACTTTTGACCTGTGTGGAGACTCATCTCAACCCTGAGACAGGAAATGCAGCAGTTTGAAAAGCAGGACTTGCAGAAGTCAACAAGAGACCCAGGATGTCAGACAAAATCGCCAAGCCCTAGCCAGGGCTATTGATAGAAACTTGGGTCCTTCCTGACTGCCTTCCAGGAAGACTTGTTGAATCAACAGATTCAGAGAGAACTCAGAGGAACTCCTGACCCAGTTCAAGAAAAAGAAAGGAGTGTGTCAGTGAAGTTGAGTCTTGCTCATCCTTGAAGTAGAGCTTGAGAAAATCAATACTTTCTGGTGAAAAGAGACTGAGCTGGGGTCTGGACTTGAGAAAAATTTGTAGGCCAGACAAATAGCTCTCCACTCCAATACATTATAGTGGAGCTCATTCACTGCAGAGATTGGATATCAAGGTGAGTACCCCAGTTAACCATCTGGGACTTCTTCTGATGGGTATGTTCTTCCTTTGCCTTTCACAGTAAAGCATATCTTGAATGTCCTGAGCCACAACAGCTCAGGTGTGGATTCATGCACCATTGTTGGATCCAGGGACCTCAGTGCCACTCATGCTGGGCACAGAACCGCTTTGGTAAATGATTCTTCAGTTGATGGTGTCAAGTCCTCAGCATTGGAATCTGCTGACCTGGATGGATCCAGTGACCAGAACTACTTTGGCACATGGTTCTCTAGAGCAGTGGTCTCCAAAGTAGGGTGTGTGCAAGAGGATCCTTGGGGGTGCGCAGCAGGAGGAGCGCTTTTTTTTTTTTTCTTTGTTAGGGCGTAGTTCGGGGGGGGGGGTTTTTTTTTTTTGTTGTTTCGGTAGTTCGGGTGGGGGTCGGTGCGGCGCTTTTTTTTTTCTGCGTGGCAGGGGGTGCGTGCTCAAAATTTTTTATTGATAAGGGTGCGCGATCAAACAAGTTTGGAGACCACTGCTCTAGAGCCAAGGGGTGTTGGTTCTCTGGTACAGGACTTGGTTGAGCAGGACGGATGCAAGGAGCTTGGTGCCATTTTTGATAGGCATAGAGCCACTATGGTGAGCTGATCTCCAGTATCAATACTGGACATGTACAATGCCAGCCTTAGTCAATTGACTCTGAAGAGCTTCCTTTGTCAGCAGGGGTATGAGGTGGGCCACCTGCTTTTGTGGGTTCACATGATGCTCATGCTATCTACGTCTCCTCCTCCTCTCCCCCCCTTTTAAGAAAAGCTGACTAACATACTGACAATCTAACTGGAAACAAAAACAGACTCCAAAGTGTCAACAAAAAACAACAACAACAAAAAACTATGAAGGGAAGTGCTGAGGACACATGTGCGATCCAAGCTTGCTGTAAGTTAGGTGGTTAGGAGGAACCGAATGGGCCACTCCCTCTTATATACCTTTGGAACCTTTGAGAATGGGAACGAGAGGATGTGAGTCGTTTCAATGGACACTAGTCACCAGAAGATTCCAGAAGCTTGTGGTGCACGCACTTCAATCCCACAAGTGTGAATACGCAGAGGCCACTTGGAGAAGAACAATGCATTTAAGTGCCATATACACTCGTTCATAAGCCGAATTTTTTTAGTAAAAAAGGAAGCACCAGAGAAGGGGGTCGGCTTATGAATGGGTACAGAGAAGGAGAGTGGGACACAGCCCCTCCCCACAACAGAGACAGCACAGCCAGAAGGGAAGAGGCGGGGCCAGAATCTCTCCGCTTCTGGCCACGCTGCTCTCCCCCCAGCCTCCCAAGCAGCTGCAGCTCCGGGGCTGGCAGGCTGCAGCCGTGCCACTTGGCCCCGCCCCCCCAGAGCAGGCTGAGGCCGCGCTGCCCAGCCCGCCGGAGCACGCTACGGCCGTGCCGCCCGGCCCAGCCCGCTAGAACATGCTGCGGCCGCGCCGCCCGGTCTGGCCTGCAGGAGCAGGCTGCGGCCACGCTGTCCAGCCTGCTGGAGCAGCTCCAGCCAGGTCAGAGACATCCTCCCCTGGCCCTCCCCAGATAAGGTGGGAAGGGATGGGAAGGGGAGAGTGTGGGGGTCCCAGGCTAGAGGTGGGGTCATGTGGGGGGTGGTCACAGGGGTTACTCCCCTGACTCCCAGCTTCTCCCCCCGAAAAAGTTTCCCCACCAGTTGCTGTCCTGGCCCACCAGGGTAAGCAGCTGGCAAGCCGGGACACTTTGTTTACTTAGGTTTGTGCCTGAGGACACTCGAGGTAAACAAACCATCTCGGCCCATCAGCAGCTTATCCTGATAGCCCGGGAACCAAAGTTTGCTGACCCTGAATTATAGGGTCGGTTTATGAACGGGTTATAAATTTTTTCCATTTTTACTTATCCATCTTGGGAGGGGGGGGGGGGGTTTGGGCTTATAAACGAACCAGCTTATGATCGAGTATATACGGTAAATATTCAACTTGGAAATTAGGAAAGCATTTCTGATGACAAAGTCAATCATCTAGTCTAGTGAAATAGTCTGCTTGACAAGGAAGTTATGGCAAATTAGGACGCAATCAACTGAGATTAGATAAAATTGATACAGAAACTTAGACCAGATAATCCAAGAGATCACTTCTGACTATCATTTATGATGACACCCCTCACATAGTATGACCCATTTAAGATCCCTGATGTTTGTGGTCAGGCCATCATGGGTGATAAATCTATTCCTACTCAGCAGCAGCTCAACTGCCTGAGGCAAGCAGTTAAAAGAAGTACAATAAAGAGACTTTCTTTTCCCGCATATCAGTCCTAAGGAGCTGGTAATTGGGATGTCCTAATGCCAACAGCTAGTAGACTTCCCTTTTCCACCTAGTAATGTCATGTGATAAGGGATGTTCCACCTTCTTGAAGCAACAAAACTGAGTACTACATCAATTTTTTTTTAAGCACCCCTCCATTCTATGCAGATATTTCTTTCTTTTCCCCCAGCCCAGTGTCTCTCAGCAGCAGCTGCATTATCTGTATAAATCCTGCAGCCAACAGGCTGGATGCTGCTGCTCTATCCTGCTATTAAAGAACAGAGCTCAAAAATAATGAAAAGTGCCCCTTCCTAAAGATAAGCATATCACACGCATAATATCAGCCATCAGGCCAAATGCATTTTAATGAAGTTATACGCACCTACAGACATGTCCATCTTACTGCCTTGAGTGTCCTCAGTTTGACTCTGAAAGAAGAGCAAAAAAAGACACTGGTCTGACTCCTGAGCAAAGTTCGAGAACACTGCAGAAAACAGCCTTTGTTAAAGATGTGTATTGGAAATGTGGAAGGGTGTACCAGTGTGAATGAAAGTAATGTCCTAAACTATATCAAAGAAAAACAATCCTGATGTAACCTTGAACACACCTCATCCCAGCTGTATTTGGGGTTAAATTTCCTAAAATGCCACTAGGCACATGAACTCATCATGCCACAGACAGAGAGAGATGTCCGAACAGCTGCTCTGAGAAATGAACCTCTGTCCTCATGTCAAGAGATCAAATTATAAAAGGGTAGCAGCCAGAATGATAGCTCTTCTCGTGACTTGTCAAGTCATCAAATCTTAAAATGTGCTGCCAAATTATTCTTCTCTTGGCAGTCTGGGACAGGGTGTTCCCATAACTTTGAGAGGCAGCATGATCTAGTGGACTGAATTTGAGACTGGGTGCCAAGAGCTCCTAGACTCTAATCCCAGCTCTGCCAACGACATTCTGCTTGGCCTCAGACATGTCACAGCACCTTTGCACCACAATTTCCCCAATTCTATAATGAGGATAAATAGCTAATTCACAGGATACATTAGTTAATGGTGTACAGCGTTTTGAAAAATGCAAAGCTCTCCATTAAGTGGCGTGTCTGGGATTCTTGCACATTTTCATAGGTGAACCATATTTTCACTGAAAAGAAGGCATTGCAGATCTCTGCACCTTCCCACTGACAATGATGTAGCATGTGTCTTACATCTCCACCTAGAGGCCCCGTTACTGGGACTATATCTATGCTAGGTGCTGTACTACACATAAAAGTCCCTGTTCCAAAGAGCTTACAATTTAAGTAGACAAGACAAAGGGTGGGATAAAGAAAATATCCCCTTTTTACAACAGGGAACTGAGGTACAGTGATATTGTCTTGCCCAAATTCACACAAGTCTGTGGCACAGCCAGGAATTAAGCCCACATGTCCAGAGTTCTAGTCCAGCACCTTAAGTAAAAGACCATCCATTGTTTGCAAATGAATTGCAACCCCACAACAGTGGCAGCCATGAAATCCACTCGGATTTTAAAAGTATTTTAGTTTCCAGAAAGAAATATTCTGACTAGTAAGTGGAGTTTGAAATAGCCACCAACTATCAGTATTGGAATAAGAGAATGGGAATGATAAATGCAATTAGTTAATAAACACTTGCTGGTGAATATCTGAAATTAGAATTTTGCTTACTACACAAATGTTAGTGCTTCTCAATTAGATTATGACATTTTTAAAAAGCCACTTACTAGCAATCCCATGTTTGAAAACTGTTTGGATAAAGGGTTCATCCACGAATCACTATTTCCTCCTTTTAATGAGCACTAAAAAAACAAGAGCAGACATGTAATTAAACAGTTTCCTTATCTTTCCTCCATTTTCACACTTCCTTTTATGTAGAGGTCTCTGCTGTGCTTTGCTTCCTTTCAGCAACTTCCTCTCAATCAGCACTGTGCTGAATTCAATTGGCTTTTGATTTGGTCCTGTTGTGATTTGTGAATGACCAAAAACAAAACTGAAACAGAAATCAGCAGTATAATGCTAAAAAAAAAAAAAAAAAAAGGCTGAAAAGGAAAGTTTACAGACAATTGCTTTTGTGGTTAGGATAAAAAATGAAGGAATAAAAAAGATTGATTGAAATGAAAGGGAAATCCATTTGTCCAAAGCAGGAACTGACAAACCCATACAACACCACAATACAACTGTTTTGTTTTGCACCTTATCTTAGCCCAGGAGATGCCAAAGCACAGCCCCAGCTATAGGTAGTCTTCTTAATCTGAACGCAGTACTCCAAACTACAACAGAAAGTCTCACATGCTCTAGCCGCTGAAGAGCAGTTAATACACAGTTTTGCAGCCAAGTGCAGAGTCATTTACTTCTGTTTGCTGCCACAAGTTAATAAGAACAAAGGCGGGAGCCCAAAATCAAGCAGAAATAACAGTGTGTTACTACCAGAAGTGAGAATGGGATCAGAACTTCAACAGGCTGTGTAAGGAGAGGCAGCAGCAGTCTAATGCAGAGTGATGTGTCACCCAAAGAGAGCGATAACCCTTGGACACTTGTTGCTCAGTCTCATTCTGTAATGGCTCTGCAGCCCACATGCCAAAAGATTTCTGGCAATCTCTGTTGGAGTTACAAGTCATAATATCTATATTTCATAAAAACAAGAGTGTCATTTCACCCACCACTGCAATGCAGCCACCTCTACAGATGAATTCTCCACTACAATAGTTCTTGTTTATAAAAGGGAAGTGCATAACACATTAGTTATATCTGCTTTCAGAGTATATGGCAGTTACAAATCATTCAAGCATGAGGTTTCTTACCTTAATTTGTGGTTTCTTTCCTCCTTGCCCCCAGCTTGTTGAGTTGTGGGAGGAACTGCTTCCTTGAGAGCCTGCTGTGTTCCAGACTCCTCCTTCCTCCTCCTCTTCCCAGCTTGAATGACGTGTTCCTGCTACTGGCCCATCATTCTCCGCCCAGCCATCTTGCATAGATTTGGAACCTTCAAGGGGGAAAAAAAAAAAAAAAAAAAAAAAAATTCAAAAAGTGAGCCAATACAACTCCTAACAGACAGATTTTATGACATTCTATGGCAAGATCAGTGGGATGCTTAGTACACAACTGCTGTTATCAATCTAAAAAAACCCAAAACTTTTCTTCATTTTATTCTAATGCAGAAAATTGCACAAAGCACAACACCTAAAAAATTTATTAGTGCTGAGTAGTGTGCTATATTTTTCAAGTGTTCTGTATTTTAAAATCACTTTAGTGTCAAACATGTCAAATGCCTTTGACTTTACATTTACAGAGGAAACTTCCCTTCTCGCAGTAAAGAAACTGACCTCCTAAAAGGAGCTCATAATTTCCAGTGTAGAGGAAAGGATTCCAGAGGCTCTCTTAAATTAATGCAATTGAGGAATTTAGTCCATCTGGTTAACCTATATCAAAATCTGTTTTTCAGTGCAAATTTTTTTCCTTCAAAATCCTCAACACTCTATTAGAAAAAAACACCAATAATACTTCACCACATTTCTCTATCACACTGCTAGTATGTTGACCTTTAAGTATGGTTGACAATAAAACTCTGCTCTGAAAAACTCAGATTTAATTCTCAGACACTGGTCAGAAATCTGAGATGTGGAAAACTTGCCACAGAAATACAACATGCATCTTCACACTGTATTTTTACTAGGATCTGATATAAAACTACGGAACTTTGGGAGGTGGCGCCTGAGGCGCAGCTTGTCCCACCACACTTGTGGATGCCGCCGGCCTTTTAGGGTCCTGGTGGGGTGATCGGCCCCTCACCAGCCTCTTCTTTTTCGCGGGCACCAGAGACGGTGAACGGTGCCGCATGGAGGCCGATTTCCTATATCCCGATTCTCTCCGGTGCCGGGACTTAGAGTTCTTAGATTGGGCCTCCTCTCTAGCTAACGGTGCCGGAGCGCTGCACACCGAGGATGAGGCGCTGGGCGCCGGGCGCCAGGCCAGCAAACTCGGGGTCCAAGTGTGGCCATAAGGTCGCCTCCATCAGGAGCACTCTAAGTCTTTGCTCTCTGTCCTTGCGAGTCCTGGGATGGAACCCCTTGCAGATGCGGCACCCGTCTCTGGTGGCTCTCTCTGAGGTACCTCAAGCAGGAAGAGTGCGGGTCACTCTTCGGCATAAACTTCCCGCAGTCTGCACAGAGTTTAAACACTGGGGACCGGGGCATGCCCCAGGAAGGAGCAAGAATTACATTGGGGGGAAAACCCTCCAACTACTACTAACTTACAAATAATGCTAACTCAAACTATGAGAAAAAAAGAGAACTATATACACGAACAGAGACACTGCTAGGCTTGCTGCGAGAGCGAGCAAAGTTCCAGCTAGCCGCCACTGGCGGTAAGAAGGAACTGAGGGTGTGGAGGGTCGGCGGGCCCCTATATAGGGTGACGCCACTCCAGGGGGCGCCCGAGCCGACCCTACGGACGCTGCTAAGGGAAAATCTTCCGGCTGGCGTGCACACACCTGCTTGGAATGGACATGAACAACCACTCGAAGAAGAACAATGTGTTAACCCTTGAGGGTTCAACCGAGTGCTAGTTCATCATTTAGCAGCAAGGCATTCCCTGGGAAATATCCCACCCTCTTCCTCCACCACCTCAATCAAGCTTCACAATCATCATTGCTGTGTACAGTATTGTTTGTTTAAAACGTATAGTGTGTGTGCGCGCGTGTGTGTATGTGTACATCTATAAGTGTGTGTGTATGTATGTATGTACATATATAAAATACAGTCTTTTGTCTGGCAAAAAAAATGTCCCTGGAACCTACCTCTCCTCCCCCCATTTACAAATGCAAAATGATGTTAAGCCAATCCAATTTCCCCCCAATTCTTATGGGGAAATTGGATTGGCTTAACATCATTTTGCTTAAAGTAGCATTTTTCAGGAACATAACTACAACGTTAAGCAAGGAGTTACTGTATATACAGCTTGTTATACAAGCATGAAAAAAGTGTGTACACAAACACACCCCTTACTCGCCCATCAAATAAGTGTTACTCGCTTTGAGAAAAATTTTGCAATGCAGTATTCACTTTTTTGCTTTTAACACCTCCCCCCCCCCACACACACACTTACTTTTCCCCCTTAAAAATACACTACCTGCGCTGGCAGAAAGGATTTCCACAAAATCCTATATATGTGCAATCATATAACAGTCATTCTAATTTCAAAATTACCAAAATCGTGTTTTTCAGAAGTTCAGCAGTACCTCATTGACTGGTGAATACTGGACGTATTTCTAAGTAAACAGCTGAAAAGTCTAGTCATTTGGATTGAGCAAAAAAAAGCTTTGAACAATTATTTTAAAAGATGAAAAAACTTTTTTCATGCTTGTATAACAAAATCTGTACCTATTTTGCTCTAGTTTTCAATAAATAAATAAATAAATAATCAATCAATCTTTGGGTTAAGACCAGGCATGTGAAGACTGAGCCCCAAAAATAATTCCCAGAAAGTTACAAGCAAGTGAAAACAGGGAATTAAAATAAAGCAGCCTTCTCAACCTTAAAATATAGCTTTTATTAGCCATAAAACTAGAATGACAAAAGACTTGTTGCTGCAGTGTACAGACTTCTGCATATATAGCCATAATCTACAATGTAGAGTTTTTGGCTAAGGATAAACTGCAAGTTCATAATTCTGGTATTACAGGAGAAGAGGATTTATCTTGGAAACTAGTTCCCTACTACGAAGTATTTGGGTGTGTGGCATGGGGAAGAGGGTCCTGTTGAGAAAGAAAAAGCAACTAATTCACCTTGTTGAGAAGCCCAAATGTCATATCAATAATAAGATCAAAGCTGTTCATATACCTATACTGTAAACTAAGATTCCGTCTTGCTTTCGGTAGTTTTTAGTCATTTGTAAGCACTTTTACTCAACCACCATCAGCACCTTAGAAACCATTTAGTGTCCCTTCTGGTCCTCACTGGGAGGGGATGCACTACATATGCAGGTGAACCACATACAAAAGTCAGATACTAAAATCTATAGCATCATTATAAAAATGGCTGATTACTGGCCTATACTCACTAGGTTTCATGGTATTTGGGGCGTTGGAGGGTGCATTCCCCCAGCCTGTTGTCGATGCTCCTGTATCATCTACTTCACCCCACCCGGGACTGGTTTCATTTGGCTCACCCCAGGCAGACGTACCATTATCTGGAGCAGGTGGTGTGCTTTTGCTCCAGACTGCACAAAGAAGAGAGTTTTCATTATGGACAGTTTACAAACTGTTCACTGACATTCAGCACAGCATCACCAAAAAACCTACCGCTTCCTCTTTTCTGGTGTACCTCATGCTATTAGAAAGCGTAAATTGGGATTACTCAGTTGCAAACACTACACCCAGGGCAGGGACCTGACTTCCTTTTCATTCCTAGAACTGAGAGAGGACCTTCACTTTAGAAATGCTATGAAAAACAGTATTACTATGGTATCAAGTTAGATATGAAGCCTATCCCTGATGATTACTCAGATAACTTTTCCCATGATCAGTTATTAGTATCAGGCTGTACGGAAGTTTAATATATTGAAGAACAAGGATACATTTAAGTGCACATCAAAAAATAAATAATATCATTTAAAATATGACATGGTCAGAAAAGTGACTATGTAAAAATGGCACCTTATCATTCTACTCCTGTGTATTCTAACTCTTAGCTGCTTACTTTACAAGCAAAAAAAAAAAAAAAAAATTTACTATTTTTTATTCTTGATGACACAGGACAGCTATGGGAGAGTAGAACAGGTTATAATCTGGCTCATAAATGATTTCAATTGTTAACTAAATTCTAAATGCAGAGCACAATCCTGTTTTAAGTTCAATATGTGCAATTTCTCTGAAGACAACGGGGTTTTACAGAGATAAAGAGGGCAGAATTTGGCCTGGAAAATCTTTTACTGGTAATGATACAGAAACTAATAAGAACATATCTTGCCTTTCAGAGCTTAGGTGGAGTCTGCAGGCTAGGCACCTAAAGAAAACATCCTTTTACTTGTAAAGCCGAGCAATGTTCAGATGGAAGTCATTAAAGGACAATAATGGTGACACTCAGTGGTTCCATTTTTACAGTCACTTTTCTGAACAGAACTGTTGATAAGTTATCAACACATGCAAAAGCCAAATACTCAAATGAGAGTTTAATTTTGCTAACGGGGTAAAAGTATCTATAGATTTGGAGGTTACACACTCAACATTTGTTTAGACCAATGGTTTTCAAACTTTTGTATTGGTGACCCCTTTCACACAGCAAGCCTCTGAGTGTGTTCTCCCCCCCCCCCCCCCTTATAAATTAAAAACACATTTTTACATTTAACACTATTATAAATGCTGGACATGAAGTGGGGTTTGGGGACAGAGGCTGACAGCTCTCAACCCCCTACATAATAATCTCATGATCCCCCTGAGGGGTCACAGCCTCCAGTTTGAGAACCCTTGGTTTAGACATTTAGTTTCATATACTCTACTGAAGAGAAGGAAGCAAAATGGTACCTGATGCTGTGGATTTGCTAGTCATTGGAGTAGGCAGGCTTTGTTCTCGTGGAGCCTGTCCCCCTTGCGAGTTCTTGTCCCACAGGTTCACATTCTTGTAGTTATAACTGCTAGGGTCTCCCCATGCTGAAGTGCCATCATCAATATCCATTTTCCGACTGATGGATTGTGGAGAAGGTTCTTCCCAGCCACTGGGTTCCTCATCCTTGGGGGCAGCTGGCTGTGGCCCACTGTTCCAGTTTGGATTTGGAGGTCGCCCATTACCTGGAGGTGGTGGACCCCAGGAGCCAGAAGCCTCCTGCTGCTGCTGGTGCTGCTTATTCCAGGAATTGGGCTGTCGACCAGTCTCATTCCATGCTGGCGTTCTTTTACAATCATCCCATCCGCCCTTTGAAGCGGTATTTGCATTTGCACCATTACCCCAAGTCCCAATCTCATTTTGCCCACCTTCACCCCAACCCGACACTGGTTTGTTTCCTGCACCTTCCCAATTACTGTTTTTTGTTTGGTCAACTTCCTCTCCCCAACCGTTCTTTCCTGAAGACCATCCTTGATTAGGTTGCCGTCCACCCCACCCTTGATCCTTGTTGGAATTGTCATTCCAAGAGGAAGAGGTCTTTTCTTCTGGTCTTACTCCTCCCCAGCTAGAAGAATTGTTGTTCTTATAGTCATTCCACCCTCCTGTGTTTTTGGGGTCCTTCCACTCTGTGGGGGTTGAGAGCTCACCCCATCCAGACTTGTTTTGATTGCTTTGGCTGGGTGCATCTCCCCAGCCCCCTGAGTTCTTTGTCTGTGTGGCAGAGCTCTCCCACCCCTCAGTTCCTTTATCAGATTTCCCCTCGGGCCTTGGCATCTCTTCAATATCCCAAACTGTATCTTGCTTAATTTGAGTTTGGCCCCAGCCAGTGTTTGAAAGCACACGGGGGTCCAAATCAGTCCTGCTCAGCAAAGTCTGCAAGACTGCCTGGCAATCAGGATGCGTAGGCCTGTATGATCGGCGTCCAGAATTGTGACTGTCACTACTTCCTGCTTTGTGGTTGCTTCCAGTGCTTTGACCTCCAACCTCACTTCCTGTAGAGCTGGAAGATCTTCCCCAACAGGGAGCCTGGGAATTGCCTTGGTTTTCAGGAAGGGGGTGGCCCTTTTGATTGTCCCATGCTCCAGTGCTAGAATTTGGTTGGTTTGGACCACTCCATTCTCCAATCTTCAGTTCATCAGACCCAGACGGCTGTTTCCATTCTCCCTGAGAGACCCCAGATGTCAATTTGTTCCCTTCACCCCATTTGTTTTCATTTGAGTGCTGAGGGCCAAAGTTCCAAGACCCACCACCCATAGACCTGTTGTTGTTATCCCAAGAATCATTTCTTGACCCATTAGGTTTTTGAACAGAAACTCCTTTCCAGGAGTCCTCTCTCTCCTTTCCATTGTTCCCATGGTTTCCAGAATTGCTTTGTCCAGCGGCTGTGTCAGTTCCAGAAGGCCCCCTAGATGTACCCCAAGATCCAACACTCCCAGTCTTTCTTTCTCCAGTGCTTTGTGAAGGGGTGTCAGTGCTTCTGGAGGGGTTCCCCAAGCCCATTTCAAAGGGCATTCCCTTATTCTCCATAGGGTTTGGCGAACTTAAGTTCAAGGAGTTAGTGTTTCCATTTTTTGGTCCATCAGTGTTATGTATTTGAGCCTGTTCTCTGCCAGAGACAACAAAGTTAACACCCGCGTTTTCCATCTTTGACTGCTGTTCCCTAGAGGTCTGACCTACTGTGCTAATCTGTGCATTGGCGTTACCATTATCAGACTCTAAAATCCCTTTCCTAGAATTGCCCTCTTGAACCAGTGCTGGCCAGGCAGATGGGTTGCTTTTTGGGTTAAAGTTGCTGAAGCCAGAACCAGGGCCTATTCTGTCCTGCCCACTCAAATTCCTCCAATTTCCTAGTCCATTGTTACTCTCTGCAGCAGGGTTGGAAGATTGAACAGATTTAGCTTTGGGGTCAGATTTCCAGGCCCCAAGATTACATTCGTTCCCAGCACTTCCAGACTGACACTGGCTTCCTTTTCCTTTGTTACTAGTGGTGCTTCCTGGCAGAGTGCTCTTCTCTGAGCCAGGGTTCGAGGCACTGTTGTTATCGGTGGTGTTTTCGGAAGAAGACTCAGCGTCTTTGCTGGCAATACAAGGCCACTCTTCCATGTCAGACCCGTCTACAATCACCTTGTCCCAGACGTGAGTTGGGTTGGCGTTGGTGCCGTTGTTGGAGGCGGCTCCAGAACCCCAAGTGGAATTTGCATAATTTGAAGCAGCAGCACCTCCAATTGTTGAATCTAAAAAGATGAAGGTCATTACTATTGGTTACTATTTATAAGTCGTTTAAAGATTGCATTTCCAGACAACACCAATTATTGTTTTCATTTATAAACTTTGTTTTTCAAAGACTTACAAACTCAGCCGATTATAGCAGAATATTACACTGGAAAATGGCATATGAGCTATTCTTATTAAAACATTCAATGTTCCAGAAAAAAAAATCCTCACACTCAATTCAATTTTGTAGGCACTTAAAACCTCACTGAGGACTGGTTTCTTTTGCTAACAGCCCTGTTATTCAACTTCAAGCAGTAATTTTTTTAATAATACAAAGGCCACTGCTGATGCAAATTCAGATTTATTTATTTTTAAGGCTAGCTCTAAAATTATGGTGTACTGGACAAAATTCACCACTGGCAAAATAATATTGCAAATACGAGTGCATGTTGTAAAGTAATGCAAATTATACTGGCTTGGCATTCAGTGGCTTTGCCAACCAAGTATAACTTACACACAGAAGGGAAGAAAGGAAAGTGTTTCGGAAAAAGCACCTAACAGAAGGATATAATATTTAACAAGTCCTCCCTCCATTCCCTCACTTTATCAAACAGTTTAAGTTGATTTTCTTGCTACATACTCCTTTCTTCCCCTCAGTGCGCATATTACACTAATTTTGCAAAGACACTGAATGCCAAACCAGTGCAAAGATATACTACATTGACACACACACTTGCATTGAATATAGCCCAGAGACAACCATGGAATTTGCACGGGTTTACATCAGCTATAAATCCAATCTACTATAATATTAGACAGTCAATTCTGCCTTCATGATTATCACATGTACACAGATGTGTTACTGCTAGTACCATAGTAGTCTGGCAGCACTCCTCTGCCATCCTCCTTGCACTGCCTTATTGATATTATCAGACTAATCTTTAAGGAGAACAAGTATGGTCCCCAATTTAATGCCATGTTCTCTCTGTTTGGAGGTGCTTGCCATTTTTCTGTCCAATTCTAACTGCAGAGCCTTCAAGATGCCCTGCTAAAAATGTTCCCAAGATGACTGTATTCTCCATCTCCCTATGTCCATTTCTTCTCTAGTGAGCCCTGGTACCACTGTGGCATTTGGTAATCTTACTTCTCCAGTAGAGCTAATATGGTGGGGAAAGAAGTTCACAACAATAATTGTGTCAGTATCTTGGGCAACAGGTCTGCACATACACTGCTACCATACCATCAGCACTGGCTAGTGTCATGTGAAGTTAAGTCACACCCATCTAAAAACATCATACTTCTAATACTAATACACACACACACACACAGGATCTTTGTTTTAACTGTATATTCAAAAGTGACAAAATTAGAACATTCAGTTACTAATGTTTTTATTAAAAACAAACAGAATTGTTCGTACAAGTTCCATGCTTTTTCAGTTCACTAGCTGAACTGATGGTCTCTCTCTCTCAGCTGACCTCCAGAACCTCAGTGAAGAAGAGTTGCTCATCTGTAAATGAAACTCTTTGACTGTCAGTACAAGAACCACACTCCACACCAAGCATGGAACCCTCTGGTTAACTTGGACCATTGGGGGCCAGAGTAGACTTCATCTTCACTTGTGAAATGTTCGAGGCAAGAGTATATAAGGAAACGTGGCTCCAGTGCACCTTCATTTTCTTTCTATTTTCTTAGACCCCAACCACAGACTCTGCCATAGGAGGAGTGTGGAACTTCACTGACAATCTTATACAAGAATTCCAGTTGCAGATGACCAACTGTTCTTTCTTCTTCAGGTAATACCAGCAGAGATCCTCATGCTTGGAAGACTGATCAGTGAGAACTCTCAGGGGGAGGGGGGAGCATTTGAGGAGTAGACTAGTTAAAGCTTGCAGGGCTGCTCTCCCAAACTGCACCTCAGACCTTGACACCAACTCAAGAGAATAATGCTGCGTGCAAAGGTATGGTTTCTACTCCCAGGAACAGCTCTACAACAGGAATAATTTGCCTTGGATCTACCTGAATGTATTCTAACATCATCCAGGACTGGAGTGCCTGCTAATCCACAGAATGTGTTTTGCTGCATTTTGACAAATGTTGAAAGGAAACTGCCTCTCCCCATACATGCCAATCCCTACAAATAGTCTTGGGGATTTACAGAAGGGTTTTGTCCTACTAAGACTATAGCTGAAGGCCTGCTTCAAAGCTGACCCTCCCTGGTAACAAGTATTATGTGAAGAAGATAAGCAAGTTTCTCATCTGAGATGAAAATCAATTACTATTTTATAGATGAATTTGAAATGAAGATGTAAAGCTGTACTGCTTTTATCATTACATAATAGCGCATAAAGAGCATCAGTAATTAATGCTTGGAGCTCAAAAACTCTCCTGGCTGATGATGTTGCTTCAAGATACAGTCTTCAAGGAGTGACAACAGAATACTATCCCAGAGGCTTAAATCAAGAAACCATCAGCTTGGGTAGTACTACACTGTATTCCCAAAAAGGTGGGACACCATTAAAACATCCCTTCAAAAGCATCTTTTTTGTAAAAACACAGGACGTCCCTTGTACTGGAACTGAGATGCATACTCTAAAGCTCTGCCTATACTACTAATTTTATTGACCAAAAACTTCCACTGTTGCGGCCATTGTTTTAGCTACCCTGGTGTGACAACATTGGCGCCTCAGTATATGGACTGCTTACTGACTCCAGCAGCTGTTTTCTGCACTGTATTAACTGAATTTGCTCAGTGCAAAGCTAGTCAACTGATTAGATTGTGGTATTAAAAACAGCTGCCAGAGCTAGAGAATAGTCTACACTAGGGTTCTCATCTTTGCTAACACCAGAGCAGATGATTTGGTGTTAATAATGGTGGTTATTTTTTCTAAACAAAATACACAGTAGTCCTGATTTCTTGAGACATTGAGGGCTAAAATGTCTAACAGGTATTGCTACAGGTGTATTTCTTTATGCTGCCCATTTACAGTCTCTGCCATGCTGCAGCATAGGATTTGCTGTTGAAGGTTTCTGACTTTTGAGTAATATCTCCAGCAATTTCTGTAAGAAGACTTGATCTAGGATAACAGATGTATGATCCACCTTACTAATTGCAGGGAAACTGGTGAAATATTTAACATTTCCTTTCTGAATCTTCACTTATCACCAACATAAGGCAAAAAGGTGGCTTCACTTCTACATCTAGGAGCTCCATGTGACAAAAATATCTGGCCCAGTTCAGGGTTATCAGCAAAAAATTCAAGCTTTGTCCTGTGTGATTTTCTTGCTTATCATGGGGATCACTGGTACTGTACAAATGTTTGCTTGCAGGACAATGTTGTTAAATAAGAAGGTATCTGTCAACAAAAGATCATTGCCCTCCTCTGGTGGAAAAATGCAGATTTTGAGTGGTGGAAACAGATCTATTCGCAGAAGAGGGCTTAACAATGAACTCTTAACGCCCATTCTTGTTGAAGGTTGCTTTTTCTACTTATTTCATCCACAAATGTATTATCCTTGCACGGAAGATGGATTGCCACACACGTGATGAGTTGGTGGATGCACCCATTTCCAAAGATGGACCACTTCTCAGCACTGAAGATTTCACCAAACCCTTCCTTGGCAATTTGCTGAGCATAACATAGGTGTTCATCTTCACCACCATCACATTACCTTCCTTTGAATATAGGGGAGAAATTTTGAATGAAGGCTGAATTACTCTCAGCAATCAGTGCATGTGTGTGTAACTTGGTCTCAAAAAGTTTCAGATTGTCAATTGGTTCAGATTTCGGTCTCTCCCTGCCTTGGAAATATCCCTCAGTAAGGCCTTTGGTGATTTGAAAGGGATACCTTTTGCAAATACTGTGCGAGTTAGTCCACCATACAAAAAGAGACAGACATCCTGAGGGATAATTAACAGTGTTAAAATTGCAAATGGACTTATGAGGATAGATGAAACCATCATCCCCAAGTAGCTTCAGGAAAATAAATACTGGGTTTTGAGGCTGAGATTATACTGATTGTACAAAATCCAAAGACAACCCACAGTACTTCAAATAGTTCTTCTCATAGTAATAGCTGTATAGCCAATGAATAGGAATCTATGCCTGAAGCATCACAGGCAGCTTCTAGAGAATGCTTTGCTACTATAAGCCCCCTCTATGACTACTTCTTTCATCTCCTTCTTCAGATCCTCAGGAAGATGTTCCAACAATGGAACAAGCATATACCACATTATAAAGTCATACTAGCCCAAAAAGCTTTGTAGTTTGCCAGTCTGATCTGTAAGGTCACTTCTGATTGAGATTATCCATCTTCCTGGCACCTTTAAGCTTATGATATTTTCTTGGCCCTACTTTTTCTTTTTACATAAAGCATCAAAAATAACGAGATTGGGTATTGGAAAAAAAGAATCAAATCCTTGAACAGGGACCTGGTATAACTAGTCCGCCTGCAAAGACAATAGTGGGATAGAAACTTGTATTATCCTCCTCATCTTCAGAGAATCCATAAGGGCCCCTTCTTTGAAAGGCATGACCACCACTCTGACAGGTTAGGTTGGTTCTGGGATACCAAATAACTTGTCACCCATTTCTTGAACTATGGAGACCTCAGGCTATAATGCTTCCACAATCCTGGTGAACAGATCTGGATGGATTTAAGAGTGGTACACTTTGGAGAAGAGATGATGCTGTCTTTTCTTCTTCCCTTGACCTGACAATATTAAGGAAGGTGCACTTGTTGCTTCAGCTGAAGCTGTTATTTGCTTCTTGGACTCACCCAAGAAGGGAGAGCTCTCAAACAGAGTTTGATTTTTCCCAAGAACATGACCTTAAAAAAGGAAATACTTAAGTCAGCTTGACTCTTCATATGGCCTGGAAGCTTATAAAAGAGCTTCTTCCATCATCAACTGTAGTCAAGACACTTGGTCCTGAGACCAAAAAAAATGAAGTCAGAGACAGTAGGGGCATATATCCCTCACTTCAGCATTTAATATACGGGGTACAGCAATCTGTCACAGTCCTCTTGTCCCAAAAGAAGGGCAAGTCCTAAAAACCAACCTTTTATTCTGGAATCTAATATCACAATAGAAAAACAAATAAAGATATCACCATTAGGAAGACCAGTTCCTACAAATTACTTAAACCCTGCAAATCAAATTTATTTTACAGAAAACAACTAAAAAGCTTCCTAACACACAATTTGTAAGAAACTAAGTCCCACCTTGGGAGGAACAATCAAGACGAATGGTCACCAGACAGTCAGGGACCAGAAGGAGTTCTAACTTACTACTTCACCGAGACTAGAAATGGACCACACTTGAGCTAATATCTATAGAACGGATATATTTGGTCTTTAGTTTTATGCTGACTAGAACTAAAGCACTGCTGTTGTAACTATCCTTAGCTGAGCCAGAAAAGAGAGGCAAAAAACTGCCCGCAGCAGGAAGAGAGGTGGATTGCACCAAAGATCCTAACGAGCCTACTGGAGACTGCTGCACCAACAGCTAGCCAAGGAACAACTGTTATTCCAAGTTGGTGATCCACAACACCGTATTCCCCTTACCCCGTAGTGCTCTTATTACGTGCTAAACACATGTAATATCACAATACCTAAGGACAAAAACCTGGATGAAGGAGGATTTCTTTATGTATTACAAACTACACAAAATAGAAAGACTACAATTCCTAGGATAAATACCTTATATTTCAGCTCATAAGTGTGTGGGGGGGTGGGAGTCGGAGGGAGATTTCTATTTGATCCTAGCTTACACAGTACCACCCAATTAGAAAGGTGCATTATTGTGTGTTGAAAAGAGGGGCGACATACCCTTCCATTCAAGGATCTGGTACTGGCCGGTGTCAGAAGCAGGGGGAGACTATTGGACTAGATGGACCATTGCTCTGTTCCAGTGTGGCAATTCTGATGACAATGTTTTGGGTGTTTTTTGGTTTGTTTGTTTTTTAAAACAATCAGTACTCTAAAAATGTTAAAAATCAGCAGTGCCGAGGAGCATAAAAGTAAAGTAAAATAACTTCTAAAAGTTAGAAGTTTTAATACGTATCAGAACACATTTGTGAACGATTTTACCTGATCTTTCTTCAGCTAAGCCTTCCTTACCTGTTGCAGTCCCACTGTCGCTCTGCAGCAGTGCTCCTGTCACTGGTTGTGCGTTGTTTGGGTTTGCTCCAGGTGCTGAAGAGGGAGGAAGCCCTGCCCCACCCCCAAGTAGCATACAGGATGGCGGAGGGGGCTGCCCACGTTTCAGTAACACTTTGTGGTCCTGCTGGCAACGGAATCGCGGCGGCACCTCCCGAGGCATGTAGCGGGCGGCGCTTGGCGGTTGTCCGTTCGGCACTGCCACCCTTTTGGCATTGTTGCCACCATTGACTGGTGGCGATGGAGAGCTGCCAATTGGGCTGGCGGCCACTGGCTGGCTTGAACTTGGTTTCGTCACTTCGGGCACTGGAACACAAGAGGAAGGAAATTTATAACTTTATAAGATACAAAACCTAACAAATGGATATAAGAACACACTGAAACTGAACTCCTCTCAGAATACTGTGCAAATTCAACCCCATCAAGGAACTAGTCAAGTTAAGCAGAAGCTGCATATTTGTTTGTCATCACCAGTGATTTAGACATCATGGGTGAAATCTCAGATTGAAGTTTTAAATTTAAACATTCAATGATTAATACAAATTTTGTAATTTTTTCCTATTTCTTAATCTTTGGTTCACTTAGGGGCACTGTTGTGTGCTGCCATATGGAAAATCTGAATTTAGTTCCTAAGCTTTTACCTTGCTCATTAAGGCTATGTTGTCACTACAAAATTTGTTTTGTTTTGTACAGCGAGGAGACAACTCATCCCCGTTAGCTATCTTGCTATAAAATCCTAGTGGAGACCAGAATGTGTAATTTTTACTGCCCTGTAGGCAGGTGAGGTCAATCCCTGGTGGGGGCCATAGCACTGACCTCACCTAGTTACACCAAAGTAAAGACTACCTGGTACTTTATCTCCATGAGGATTTTACAGCGAGAGAGCGAACCCACATTTGTTTTAACACTGAGATAGCTAAACAAACAAAAACATCATTTTGGGCAGTGACAATATAGCCTAAGCCAGGTAGTATGCACAGCTGCTAGAGGAAGGAAATGCCTTCTTTCATTTTGGAACAACCCTCTCTGCCTGACCCAGGAACGCTGTTTACAAACTCTATAATGAGATCTAGCCAAAATGGGCTTGTATTTAAGGGCCTCTCTGAGGACCTTTGAGTAGATGTGAAGCAATAAGAGGGGGGAAATGAGGGAATCCTAGGGAAGCTTGTGCCTTAACAAAACTATCTTCTTCTACTTGGGAGATTCCAGAAACAGTACATCTACACTCCTCTATTCTCCACGTTTCTAGAAATAAAGCAAAGTAAACTCACACATTAAACAGTTCGGAAACAAGGGTAGAATTTGTTACATCCTAACCAGGTTGCTAGAAGTCAAAACATTTCACAAAGACATGCTCAGATTCCAAAACCAAGGACACATTTTAGAGCTGTAACTACTCCAGTCTCTCTTGTGGACTGAAGTAACAGCAGCATTAGAAGGGGCTATTCTCCCAAACATCACATTACTGATGTTATTCACCTTTTAAATATAAGCAGAGACATTTTTTAGGAAAGCAGTAGAATATCATAAGAATAGGAATTCCTCTAGAACAACAGAATGTGTTATATCCCATTTTTATCTTTGTAAACAGCTGGTGATGGGTTTTCTGACTTTCCTATGCAAGTTTCATTGTCCAAAAATTATTAGGATTTTTTTTTAAATTTAAGCCAAATTACTATTTGTCCTTTGCTGCCTCTTTTTAGTCGCTGTTTTCTCCACTACTTTCACAATGCTCGGATGCAAATTAGGTTCAAATATATTTTAAATCAGGTGAGCAAGTTATGATGCTTATTTACCATCTTTCTGTCTCCATTTGACATTCAAGTCTCGAAGCTTTAACATCTCTTAATTCAATCAGGCAGAGTAGAATGTTTTCCACTCATTTTGGTGTTCCCTCATTAAGAGCTACTCTCTCTCTCTCGCTCCCATTCTATGCATCTAGTCTGTGTCAGTTGGTGGCTGCACTTCTGAAAAGCTGCACTTTTTTAGGGATTTCAACGTTAGCCTAATTCATGAGAGATCATCACAGCTAAGATATTATTTTATTCAAAAAGGCCTTCTTTTCTTCTTCAAACATTTTGAAGGCTGACTGAAAATGTTCCTATATATTCTCTTTTTGACCATTACAGCAGTTGTTTCTGCTTACTACTCATGCAGAAATGCCTCGTCATGCGACATGAGTCTCTCACTCCCTTATCCAAGAATTTTAGTCAAGGACAAAGGCCTGTTCTGAGCCTACACAAATCTATGCTCTATAGATTTAAACAAATTAAATCTCTTACCTTTGGTTTTTTGATCTGTGACCTGCAAATTAAAAACAAGGAAGTTAATAAAAGCAAGAAAAAACAGCTGCTCTACAATGCAGCCTTCATTTATTACTACAAGACCAGCCTCTCTCAGTTTAAAAATCAGCTGAAAATCAAAAGCTGAAGTATCCTGCTCAAAAATATGTAAAGATAAAGTTTTCAAGAGGACCAAGGGCTATTTATCATCACTTCTGTGACATATTTGGTCCAAATAAACATAAATAAGAGGAAGAAGTTACTTCATTTATGATAATTTGTAAGATATGTTTCCACTGTAACATTTTAAAGCACAAATATGTAGTCACTCAAAATATGGCTTTTTAATATCATTAGAGGAAACCCTTACCTTAAACTCTAAAGCATAATGAAAAGAAACCTAAAGAATGTCACAGACAGCCCCATAAGTGAGCACTGTTACAATGACATCTCATGCTGCCTACAGGGACAACTTTAGTGAAGAGCACCAACCCATCTCTTTGCCGTCTTTCCCATCACCTTCCTCCCCTGCCATTTTCTTTTCCCAGGAGAAGACAACTTCAATCTTATTATCACGATCACAAATGGGAATCTAAAATACCTCCAGCACCATCAGATTTCAAAATCCCGTGAATGCAACAGGCTCTCTATAATGGACCTACTGAATTGAACCATCATACCAGTCAACCCCTTCCCACCCCCCATTTTTGCATTTGCTGTACTTTTACATTCTTTTAGCAGTATAGATTTCCAGCTATAGTAGAACCAAATATGCCACTGGTATGTTCTCTGGAATTCTTTGTATTGTGGCATGTTTTGAACTTGTTGGTCATGAGCTCCTCTACACAATAAGGGAAAACCCCAAGATCATCATGTGTCAGGCTTTGTGTTACCTCTTCTTAAAAGAAATTGCTGAACCAGTCCCTAATTCTGGATGGTACAGTCACAATATAGAATAATAGAAGTACTACAAGTAAAAGGCAATTTATTGTCTACACCAACCTAGCCAGATTTTGTACAGTAAAGAATAATAAAAAGAAACACAAACCACTCAATTGCTGCTGGCATAATTCCACTTTGGAAAGATGCTCTTTGGGGTACGTGAAACAGAACATACCCCAAAATATAAAATGCCATCCCTCCCCCCCAGGCTCCATAAACTTCACTCACAATTATATAAGACCAAAGTCTTACTACATGACAGGCAGCAAAAATATACCGCTTTTCATAACAAACCAGATTTTCGTTTTACTGTTTCGTTTTTTAGGGATTTCAACGTTAGCCTAATTCACGAGAGATGACAGTAAAATATTACACACACGTGTGAAAGTTTCTGTTTCAAAAATACAGCTAAAATTCCCCATCCCCGCATTTCTCCATGCCCCAAACTCCCTTCCCGCACCCCTTTTTAAAACGGGGAAATAATTATGACATTTTTACACAAGGAAAGCCAAAAGAAAAACACAACTCATGAATGCCATATTGTAGTGCTGCTAGGTTTACTATATTTAACCTGGGAGACAGTAAGTCTCCCTGTAAGAAACTTACCGTATATACTCGTTCATAAGCCGAATTTTTTTTAGTAAAAAAGGGAAGTACGAGAGAAGGGGGTCGGCTTATGAACGGGTATAGAGAGGGAGAGGTGGGACACAGCCCCTCCCCCCAAGAGAGGGAGCAAGGAGAAGCAGCACAGCCAGCAGAGACAGAAGGGACGAGGCGGGGCCAGTCTCTCTCCGCTTCTGGCCATGCTGCTCTCCCCCCAGCCTCTGAAGCTGCTGCAGCTCCAGGGCTGGCAGGCTGCAGCAGTGACACTCGGCCCCGCCCCCCAGAGCAGGCTGAGGCCGCCAGAGCACGCTGCAGCCGTGCTGCCTGGCCCAGCCCGCTGGAACATGCTGCGGCCGTGCCGCCCGGTCTGGCCTGCCGGAGCAGGCTGCGGCCACACTGTCCAGCCTGCCAAAAAAGCTCCAGCACGGTCAGATACATCCTCCCCTCGCCCTCCCCAGATAAGGTGGGAAGGGATGGGATAGGGAGAGTGTGGGGGTCCCAGGCTAGGGGTGGGGTCATGTGGGGGGTGGTCACAGGGGTTACTCCTCTGACTCCCGGTTTCTCCCGCCCCAAAAATTTCCCCACCAGTTGTTGTCCTGGCCTGTCAGGGTAAGCAGCTGGCGCGCCGAGACACTGTGTTTACTTAGGTTTACCTCCGTGCCTGCGGACACTCGAGGTAAACAAACCATCTCGGCCCACCAGCGGCTTATCCTGATGACCCGTGAGCCAAAGTTTGCTGACCCCTGAATTATAGGGTTGGCTTATGAACACGTTATAAAAATTTTCCATTTTCTCTTATCCATCTTGGGGGGGTCGGCTTATAAACGAACTGGCTTATGATCGAGTATATACGGTAATCTAGCAAAGAGACAGTTATTCATAGAATCATAGAAATGTAGGGCTGGAAGGGACCTCGAAAGGGTCATCAGCTCCTGACTGCTGTGCTGAGGCAGGACCAAGTATACCTAGACCACCCTTGTCCAACCTGTTTTTAAAAACCTCCAATGATTTCCACACTCTCCCTTGGAAGCCTATTCCAGAACTTGGTCGGAAGATTTTTTCCTTAGCAGCATCTGTCGGGTCGGCCTGGGCACCCTCTGGAGTTGCGCTTTCATAGTGCCTAATATATAGCCCTGTCGACCCGCCACCCCTTCAGTTCCTTCTTGCTGGCTACTCCGACAGAGGGGTAGGAGGGTCGGTATTGGAATGGACATGAACAACACATCTCAAAGAACAAGAGTTACAAGAAGATGGGTAACCGTTTTTTCTTCTTCGAGTGCTTGTTCATGTCGATTCCGATCAGGTGACTCCTAAGCAAAATTAGAAGGTGGGGTCGGAGCTGTCCACTGACTGGAGTACTGCTCTACCAAAGGCAGCAGCATCTCTGGCCTGCCGAGTAATTGCATAGTGTGTGATGA